AGAGCCTACCCGCTGGTTCACATAAAGAGAGGTGTGGGTGGGGTTAAGGAAGCAAACATGGGTGTGGAGGCCCTGAGAGACCACTCCTAGGCCTGAAGGGTAAAGAGAGGAGTGTCTTCCTGAACCTGGAGAGGACTGGAGCCATGGGAGGAGCCAGCTACAGCCAGAGAAACAGCATGGACACAGTGGCAGCAGGGAGCACATTGCCCTATCTTCTCTCTCCTGGCACCTTCCAGTCTCCTGGTGGGGCCTTTAGATCCAGCCAGAAACCAGAGGGCAAGGAAGCCCAGAAGTTGCTAACTTGGGATCCCACTTCTGAGAGCACAGAGAAGGCAAAGGACAGGACTTGGGTGGGGGAGACAGAAGGAGATGGGCTTGGGGAATGACTAAAAGAAAGAGAGTCAGGGAGGATTCCTGGGATACTTCCAGATCCCTAGCACGGGTGACAGGTGGATAATGGCACTGCTCCCTGAGTTGGGAAGAGATGGAGCTGCTCAGGAGAAGCTGATGGGCTCAGCTTTGGCTGTGAGTGTGTAGGTTTTATGGGACAGCTAAGTGTTACCTAAGTCTCCAGAGACAGGGACATATGCCGGTCTGGAGCTCAGAAGAAAGATAGGAACTGGGAAAGAGGTAAGGGAATTGTCAGTACAAAAGTGGTTGAATCCTGAAAGTGGGGGGTGATAACCCACAGAGAGCCCTTAAATCGGCAGGTCTGAGCCCTAGGGCCCACTCCCATCTTAAAGAGGTGGAGAGAAACGTAATACATCCCTTTTGCAGGAGCCTAACCAGCGCTGACCCTGAGCAGAGCCAGCCTGGGATGGGCGGCTCTGTGGGGGCCCCACGGTCCTGCTTTCAGGGTCTTTCCTCTAGTGTGCTTTCATCACTGTCCGAAGAGCTGTCTCCGAATGGGGCATGAACCCACTGGGATCTTCTTGAGGAAGAATATACTACAGCTTTTATTTACCTTTTTTGTAGAAAAAATGAAAGCAATTAAGCTTTACTAATATTTAATACTTGAACTGACCCTGGGGCCCAGCTCAGTGGGTGTGTCTAATGGTCTTTATGCAGAAACTCTCCGGAGAAGGGAGTGTTGGTCAATCCATCACACCAGAGAGTGATGGGGCATAGTGTTGACAACCCCCAAGACAACCCCCAGCTCAGAAATTCACTAGAAGGATTCAGCGTTAGTGGTACTCAGCAATGATTTATTACATTGAAAGACCATAAAGAAAAATCAGCAAAGGGAAAATGTTCAGGCGATGAAGACCAGGGAAAACCAGGTGCAAGTTTCCAAGAGCCTCTCCCAGTGGATTCACACAGGATGTGCTTAATTCCCCAGCAACAAATTGTGACAACACATGAAATGTTGTCTACCAGGGAAGCTCACTAGACACCCAGTCCCCTCAGGGTTATTATCGGGGGTGGGTGCCCAGCACAGACCAAAATCCCAGACTCCCAGAGAGAAAGCAGGTGTGTAACATAGGCCAGGTTGTTTGCACAAACAGTTCGGGCACAGAGAGTCACTCTGATCATTGAGGGGATGGTGGGAACCCTCCCCAAATCCAGGTTCACAGACAGCAGCTTAAGGGCCAGCCTTGCCAGCAGGCCTGTCTGAGGACCCAGTCTGCTATGCCTGCAACTCTATTCTGCCCAGAAATCCTCAACCATTCTTTGCTCTCAGTCTGTGGCAAGATATTGCAGTTTCCAGATGCCAGCTTCAATTTATATGATTGAGTTTTAGCTAACTTAACTCATTTATATCATTGAGTCTTAATGAATTTAGGCCTCACAAAATAGACAAGTGGCCTGAAAATGATTACTTTAAAAAGAACACACATAAGTCAAGCAAATATAATGCTAAGCACATTGGAGTGACACTTCTACCCGAAACAGATCTTTGTCAGCCACCTGATGAGGTAAAAATGATGCTATTATTTCATCCTTTACCATCCTTTTAAAATTTCCATGTTCTGTGTATGTTCATGTTGAAAACTGTTTTTTCTGCTAGGAGAACATGATCAAGATGTATGAAAGCCATTGGTCTTAACAATGCCAACCCATTTGCTTTGGGAGTGTGTTGAGATCACTCAGGATAGGGTCCTCAGGCTGGTCAGCCACCCGGTGTGTTCTGTCCCTTTGACAGCTGACTCCTGGGCATGGATGAACCTGATTTGGGTTAAGGAGACTCTGTTTGGGGAGGAGGGAGCACGGTGTGGGGGAGAGAGGGCTTGACTGGGCCCAGGCGCTGAGTTCCAGGCTCAGCTCTGGCGGAGCTGTGTGGCGTAGATGACAGAAACATCTTAAACGCTATCTCAGCTTCCTCACTGGCAGAGTGGTTTTCTCACTCAACTGACAGCTCCAAAAGCATCACCCTGGTTTTTGTTGCTGTTTTGTTTGTTTGTTTTTATCATATGTACTTAGCCTCTAATAATAGTCTTTGACTTGTAGTGGTTTATACTTAGGATTTTTCAACTTGCAAAAATGATTCCCATTCAGTAGAGACCTACTCTGAATTTTGACCTTTTTCTGGACTAATGATATGTAGTACATTATTCTCTCACTAGAGGTCCAGTGCACGAATTCGTGCATGGGTTAGGTCCAGCCGACCTGCCCGATTGGGGCTGATCAGGCCGAGCCAGCCCAGAGGAGGGGATGCAGGAGGTGGGCCAGCTGGGGGGAGGAGCCGCAGGAGGTTGGCTGGCCGGCCCTGCCCCCGATCAGGCTGGTTGGCTGGCTATAGTGCAAGTCATAGCGACCGGTCATTCCCGTCATTCCAATCATTCTGGTTGCTTGACTTTTATATATATAGATGATGCTGGGCAGCAGCAGTGAGATAATGGAAGTGATCTGAGCACTTTAAGGTAGGCTAGGCTAAGCTAGAATGGTCGGTTGGTTAGGTGTATTAAATGTATTCTCACTTACAGTGGGTTTATTGGGACATAACCCCATTGCGTAAGAAGAGAACCACCTGTACTTACTCAATGAACATAAGAAGGAATGAACAAATGCGTGAATGAGATGATCTTTAAGATCCTATGAAACTCTAATAGACTAAGCATGTATGATCTAGTCATTGAATGAGCTCAGGTCTAAATTTGCAATAATTGGCTCCTTCCCCTCTTTGTTCTGTTTACTTTCCTGGCATTATAATATGGGTGATACTGTGGCCATCCTATGCCTTCTCTAAAGGACTGATTCATTCTTGCCTGTCTGATTTCTCCTTGTTTTTGAAATTTAAAAAAAAAAAAGGTAAGTGCCCACCTGTACGCTGTCAGCATTCCTACCTCACATGTCCATGTTTCTGAAAAATAACTGTAATGCTGTCATCCTTTCTGGACTTAGAGGGTTTAGCATTGCAGTCTACCTAGCTTGTTCCTATTTTCACAAATAAAGTAGAAAGGGGAAATGCTTTGTCTCTGAAAAGCTGGAGAGCCAAGTATCCAGGAAGGCAGAATGAAGGGACTCCATGAAGGCACCTGGCTGGAACATTTCTGGGAACTTCCTGCACATGCTGACAGCACACTTGGGCTGGGAAAATCTGCTGTGTCCAGTTCCTCTTGGCCACCAATGGGCCTGACCTGTCTGGTCTAGCCTGGGCTATCTCTCTCCCATAACCCATCCACCCTTCC